CCGGTCCGCCCCGTCCCGTCCCGCCTCGCCCCGCCCGGAGCCCGCCCATCCGCGTGCATTCCCGCGAGCCCGTCGCACCGCACAACGGTTCGGGTGCTCCACTGCGACTTCCTGATATCTGGTGTTGCTCCGAACCTTCGCGCAGAAAATAAAATAAAATAGAGCACCATCCATATTTATCAATACCGTATTTATTTTCCCTGGTCCTGGTCCCTTCCTTTTCCTTTCCCATTTCCGCCCTTGCTCCTGTAATTTTTTTCTTATTTTTCATCCTTTCCCGCTGCCGTCGGTCCCAGTGTGTAATCAACGCGGCAGAATTTTTCTTCTCCGACCGCGCCGCGAACTCATTTATTACCGCAACATCTTTGTTTGCACTCCCTTCCCTTCTCGAGCCTGCCGCGCGCGCACGGTTATTCACACTGGGGAGTGTACGACACATGAAAACGCTGCCGAGGTCACAACAACACTATAGGAAGCGAACAAAACACGCCTACCGTGACTTCCATCTCGCAGCACCGCGATGACTCTCGCCTCACACTGCACTGCACCCTCTTCCCCTCGCTCGCCCTACTAGGTTTCCACAGAAGGAGCGCGCGTGTTCAACTGGGAGCCCCCTACCACCACGGGGCCCTTCTGGTATACTCTTCAACTCTACAGAGTTGTGCACTCGTAGAAGTAATCAACACAACTCATTTTCAACAACCTCCGGGTGAGCGCGCTTTCCAACACGGAAGAGGCGCGTCCATCACAAAAAGAAGTGTTCCAGAGAGATGTGTTGTCAAGCGCTTGCAACTGCACAACAGACGTGTCGAACACTTGATTTATCTGTGGCGTGGCGGTGCAAGCGCCACTGCGCTTCAATCCCGGCATTACGTGTGCTAGTCAGGGAGTCAACCCAACGACCTAACCCAGGACCCGACTCACGTGCCGCCTGTGCCCCCGCCTTGCACTCCGAACCGTGCAGCGACGGGACGCCAAACTGCTGAAAGCTTTCTTTCACACAGTATAAATGGGAAAGGAAGGGACAGCTTTCTACTAAACTTTGGCCGTGCTCTTCTAAGGAAAACTCAATAAAAAAAAGTCCCTGAAAAAAAAAGTCCCCGAAAAAAACAACAAATATTTGTGCGTATTTTAGCTACGAATGTTTAGCTTTCTAACTAAGCACACTGAAGCTGTAGGTACGAAAATAGCCAACTTGCCATTAAGTCTGCAGAGAGCTAAATTCCAAGTGGGTGGCGACGGGAGTCGAGGTGCGGTCGGCGGCACCACGGCGAGTCTAACAAGGTCGCGTCCCCGCGTCCCGTTGCAGAAACTAAAAGGCTAAAAGGACAGGCGGGCTCTTGCGGGCGCGCCGGGCGACAGCAGAGGGGGAAAAAAAGGAGGAATAAAACGAGGTCGCGGTCTCAACAAGCTTGGTGTTCGCACCGGTCTCCGTGGGGGTTCGCACTTAACATCTTTTGTGAATGAAAATGTTTTCAGTTTTTATTTCTTTATGCGCCTGAGTCGGTTTAGGGTGAACGTCACCCTCCCTCCCGTGTGCGCGGGACGGCAGTGGTGGCGAGTGGCCTTCCCTCGGGGGCGGAGAGGGGCAGGGAGGGGCGGGGCCGGGCGGGGCAGATGACGTCGCTGGGCAAACGGCTTTGATCCCTCCAGTGCAAAAGCAGAGGCAGTGAGGGGCGCCCGGGTAAGGCGAGAGGCTCCAGCTGTTGGGGGGGTCGCCCCCGGCCACCCCGGCTCCCACTGCTATGGCCATCACGGCGAGCCAGCTGAACCATAGATGGGAATGCGCTGTCCGGGTGGCTGCCCGGCCCAGCCCAGCCCGGCCCGGCCTGTGCGCTGCTGCCCACCCCCAATTTGGCTGGTATGAGCTGCAGCCCCAAGCATTTGGAGAGGGGGGAGGGAGGGAGTGCCAGAGGGCCGAGAGACCCGGGGG